ACTTGCTAGACTCATATTTTAATATAGGTCCTGAGCCAGATCAGACAGAAACACCTTGGATCAGAGGTGGTGACGGGGGACACCAGGGCTGATGAGGTTTGGCAGTGCCCAGAGATGGCCACTCCGCCCGGAGAGCTAGCCTGTCCAGGCTACTCCTGGCTCTTCCCCATTCACAGCCCTGCACACTGGCCCCACTGCGGGCCTCAGTTTCCCCAGCTGCACAGGCAGCCAGCTCTTCTCCCATCGTCCCTGGCTGGATCCAGCTGGCACAGACATGGCCTGCCATCACTCTCCTCACCTCTGCCAGCTCTGCATGCAGCACGTGACTCTGCCTCAGCAGGCGCCCACCAAGCCTGAGATCTCCTGGCTCAGTTCTTTTGACTGACTTCCCAGCTGCCTCTGTTGGGTGGGTCGTGTGCCGGTGGTACCCTTGGGCCAGAGGCCGGTGCGGGCACACAGAGGGCTCACGGGGATGCTTCCTGTTAGAAAGGGATCGAGCCCACAGAGAGCCAGGGGTAGCAAGAGCCGTGGCTCCCCGTGTCCTGCAAGGCCACAGTGTCCCAGCCACTACCACCACCTTAGCGCCAGTCCCCTCTGGACAGGAGGCTCATTGGGGAACATCAAAGGCAGCCGAGGGCGGAAGGAGCAGGCAGGGGCTCTGTGCATGACCAAGGGGTCCCCCTCTCTCTCCATGATTCCCTGCTCAGTTTCACGGGTGCGCACCCCAGATTAGCATTTTGCACACTGCACTGGGCGGTGGTCTCTGGCTCTGCTCTCACCCCTGGGAACAGTAGGTGCAGTGGGCTGGGCACGGGGACTCTGGAACCTGTCTGCCTGGCATCGGAGCTTGGCTGGCATCATTGCTGAGCAGCTGGGGCTCAGGCCACAACCCCCGAGTGCTCCACCCACCTGGGGAATGGGGTCCCGGAGGCAGTTGCAGGAGCTAACGTAAATGGGGGAGCCCGTGGCCCACAGAACCTGGCATCTAATAAGCAGTAGGAATTGGGCCAAATTATCAAGTGGTGATTTGGGCCACTCAACAAACACACAAAGGAAAAGGCGCCCGCTCGGGAGTGGAGATTTTTCTCAAGGACTCTCACGGCATCCTAATTTGCACTTGGCTGAGAAAGTACGAAATGGAAGTGGCGGTGTGACTGAATTTTCAAAAAGTCGGAGTAAAAGAACAGAAGGGCATCTGGCGTATAATTAACAAGCTGACACCGGGAAGAATCCCAGGCAAAGTCAGACAAAGAGAGCAGGAACAGGAGCCTTCGTCATCATGGGCCGGCAGGACAGCCCTTTCCCTTCCTGGCCGCTTTCCACCTCCCACCTGAAGGGAGACTGTGGCACACAGGACCGGCCACCCCGAGGCGCTGGGCGCCCCCGCCGGCACCCTCTCTGCTGGTCTCCCTCCAGCCGTGGGGAGGGCTCACAGCTCTCCTGGGCACTGAGGACTGAGACTGTGGTCCCCGGGGTGCAGCATGCAGAGGGTGTAGGCTGGGGGCAGTCTTAGCGCGGGGCAGTGACACAGACCAGACAAGGGCCGGACCAGGAGACCCGCGGGATCTGCAGGGCACAGGCGGCGTGGACCACCGAGAGGAGCTCGGTTCGTTTTAGGAGAGAAAAGTCAGTGAGACTCAATGGAGGGGTCTTTTATCCAAGCATTCGTAACAGCAAAATTAGCTGGCAGTCAAAGCCTGGGGCAGCCGTGCCCGCCGGCCTGTGGAAAGGCGGTCCCCCCGCCAGCCGTACATTTAGGAGATCACGCCCCGACAGGGACTGGGAAGGTTCGGGAGGATGAGGGAGGAAGGGGACAGCTTCCTTGTCATCTCAGCATCGTGTAAGAGCAGGACTCAGCATCCAGCCAAGCAGGGGCCAAGTCTGGCCAGCGTGACACAGGCAGCACCCAGCTGCATGTCCAGGCTGTGGGGGACAGTAGGCAGCAGGCCAGAAGTGGAGGGTGCGCTCAGGCTTTGGGGAGGCGCTTGCAGATCCGGTGGGTGTGGTGAGATCAGAGAGTAACAAAAGATGAAGGACAGGCGGTCAGTGGACGGGGATCCGGAGGGAGGTGGGGATCCAGCTGACCCCGAGGAGGAGGCCTGGACAGGGGAAGGTGTGCCAGGACTCGGGAGGTGACAGCAGGACAGGTGTCCTACGGGAAGAGCGCGTGGCCTTCATGATCCTTCGCCTTTGCTTAGAGACCCCGTGACTGCCGGGGGCCTTGCAGGGTCCAGCTTGAGTCACTGCAAATCCCACGCGATGGCCCCTCTGCCAGCCATCCTCAGGCAAGAGCTCTGCCATGACTGCTTCCAAGTGTGCACAGACGCGGCTGGGCTGCCTGCACCCCGGGCAGGGCTTCCTCCATGTCCCCAATGGATAATAACACCCACCCTGGCGAGTGGGCACCACACGCAAAGCGAGAGCTGAGTCAGGAGCCTGAGCGGGAGGCAGGGCTGAGGGGCCCGGGAGCGGAGTGGCCTCCTTCGCCAGTGACCACAGCTGTGCACCGGACAGCCCTGTGCCCAGAGGCATGGTGACCTGCTGCCGTGTGTCAGCTCGCAGAGCGCTTGGGGCAGAGGACTCACTACAGCGGCGCTGCCCTCAGAAGCCGGAGGGAGCCGGAACTCCTGTCTCAGCCACAGCCAGGAGGCGGCGATTGGGACCTGCGAGCGGGTCATCCTGTGGGTGGCAGACACAGTGGCCAGTGGTCAGGCCGGGCACAGACGGGCACGGAGCACATCGCGGCACTAAGGCAGACCTCACGCCCTTCCCTTGGAATTTCCTCCCCAAGGAGATCGTATTCGACCTACAACACAGTACTACTCGTTTCCCTGAAGACGAAAAAACGCCACAGGGCTCTTAGAGATGCAGGGTTGGATTAAGAAAATGCAAACGCTTTCAAGGCCCCCGGCATCCTGGAAACCGCACCTCTGGGGTCTCCCTGGAGGTGAAGAGGGTCCCAGCTGTACGGGACAGCTGTGAGCGTGGCCAGCGATGGCCCTGCACCGCTGCTCAGTGGAGGCTGTGGGTCCTCCCTGCTTGGAATGTTTTCCTGCCTGCGATCTTACAAGAGTAACAAGAACAGGTACAGCTTCCCCACTTGGACGTCATTAGGCGGATGAAAAAATCAATGGATTGGACCGCATAAAGATTAAACAGACGGGGGACTTCCTGCACCCCAACACACACTCAGGGAGTTGGAAGGCACACAGCGGACCTGTGAGGGGTGTTACACACCCGGTGGGACTCACAGAGGGGAAGGCGGTCACGGGTCTGAGGAGAGGCCAGTTTGGGTCCAGCGGGTGTCCAGTTTTAGTTCTGTAGAGGCCCACACACATGCCCATACTTAACGCCACCCAGCTGTACCCCTAAAACGGGTCAGGTGATAAATGAACTGTAGGTGTCTTTTCCACAATATAAGAGATCACAGAGTAATAAGAAATTCCGTTACCAGGACGAGAAATTAAATGGCCAAGAACAAATCTTTCCTAAGGAGATAAATAGAAGTGGATGCTATGAATGGAAAATCAGGGCGACACCGAGACACAGTTTTCCCTCATCGGCCCTCTGTCCTTTAAAACCTTAGTGTCCTGCATTGGGAAGGCGCAGGGCTGAGCCTCATTACGCACAGCAGGTGGAAATGCAGATTAGCCCACACTCCAGGAGGCCACTGGGCCACTGTTATGAAAGGCATTACAATACCACAAATCCTTGCATTCCAGTCCTCAGGTTCATCATTTCTAAATGATGAACTCCAGGAACCCATCGGCATGTACGGGAGACGGCTGCACACACACAGCAGCAGCTAACACCTTCTACCCTAAGGCTGTGGGGGAATTCAGGGGCGGCACCCACAGCGAGGACACAGCCCCTGTCCCCGCCTCTCCTTCCCACCCACGTCCAGCACGGGCAGATGCCGGCATCTCCGGCCAGCGCCTCTCCCCACAGCCTCCTCCTCTGCTCTGCCACCACCGCTGTGACCTCAGCCCGTGGCGCGGCCAGCACGGCGGCTCCTCCCTCTGGCTCGACTCCCGTGTGGGTCCTCCCACGCCGGCCTCCCCTTCCCTGCCTCCCTTAGCTCGACGGGACCAGGTGGCCACATTCCCACGAGAGGGACGGAAGCCGGGGGAGGACACCGAGGCAGACAGGGTCCGCCCTTCAGCCCTCAGCCTCTTGATGTTGTTTGGGGTCCTGCAAAAGAAGGACACGTTGCTGGTGTCACTTGGCCGCAGGAGGCTGCATGCCCAGCTCTGCACACCTGGGCTGCTCACATGCAGACAGAAAACCGTGACAAGCGTGCACCTTGCTGGGTCCTGGGTCCTCCGAGGCCCCTCAAGGACGCTGACCTCCTGCTCTGCTCAGAGCCAGGCCAGTTTCCTAGAACATGGGACTTGGCTGAGGAAGCTCCGATCCCAGCAGCCTGCACCAGCCCTGCCCGACCTGGAGTCCTCGTGTTTCCCTAATGAACGTCTCCCCACGCATGTAAAATGTGCAAACGCCTAGTGACAAACTGGCGGTGGCCACCACTACCCCCAGCAGGAAGTGCTTTTCTCAGCCAAAGAAGGAGGACTCGGAACAGCCCGGACACAGACGGGCCTCGGGCTCAGGCTTCACCCGTGGCTGCAGCTGCAGGGCCAGCTGGGGACTCCTCAGAACAGCAGAGCTGGGTCCGGCCCACACGTGTAACAGTGACTCAGACATCGCTTTCTTTCTGGTCTCTACAGATGGAGAAACTGAGGCACACACGAGGTGCAGGTGTGTGGCTGAGGAGGTGCACAGCGGCAGACACACAGCCCCAGAGCCCCAGCACTGAAGCCCAGGCTCGAGGGTGCAGGGAGACGCCCAGGGCACTGTCCAGCATAGCTTAGGAAGGCCGTGAGGAGAGACGCCTGAACCGCTCTGGGCGGGAACCCGCTTCGCCCTGCTCCCCGCCTCCTGTCCTCCTGTGCCTGCCCCCGCCCCAGTCTGGACCAGCCTGAGCTCTCCCCACCCCTTCTTACCATGGCCAGCGGGATCACTGCAACCAAGTCCTTCTGACTCACGTAGATCTTGGACACGCCCAGGTCGGAGGTGATGTCGCCGGGGTACTCCACCTGCCACGTGACGAGCTGCGTGGCCAGAGGGTCGCTGGGCTCTTCCACTTCCACGTCGATCTGCATGACTTCCTCAGAGCTGCTGTCCGCACTGGAGAGAAGAGGAGAGAAACTGTGAGGGACGGGGCGGCTGCAGCCGGCCAAATCCGCGAGTACCTCCTCGGGCGCAGTGCAGGGTTACGGCATTCCTGCAAGAGGCTTTACGGACAAACCATCATCCCGGGCGTTTACCCCCCTCAGCCCCCCTCCCTTAAGGGTGCCAGCTCCCTCTTCCTGCTCACCATGTCCAGGCTGGGGCAGGCCCAGCTATAAAGGACTCTGGAAGATGAGCAGAAGAAAGTGGCCTTGGGTCTTCTCTCTCTCTGTCTCTGTCTGTCTGTCTGTCTCTCTGTCTCTGTCTCTATCTCTGTCTCTCTGTCTCTGTCTCTGGCTGTTGTTGCCTGTCTCTCTGTCTCTGTCTCTATCTCTGTTTGTCTGTCTCTGCCTCTATCTCTCATTATGTCTGTCTCTCTCTCTTTCTCTGCCTGTCTCTCTGTCTCTCTGTCTGTATCTTTGTCTGTCTCTGTCTCTGTCTGTCTTTCTCTATCTCTGTCTCTGTCTGTCTCTATCTCTCTGTCTCTATCTGTCTCTGTCTGTCTCTCTGTCTCTGTCTCTGGCTCTGTCTCTGTCTCTCTGTCTCTGTCTCTGTCTGCCTCTGTCTCTGTTGCTATCTCTCTCTGTCTCTGTTTCTCTGCCTGTCTATCTGTCTCTGTCTCTCTGTCTCTATCTCTCTGTCTCTCTGCCTGTCTGTCTCTGTCTCTCTTTTTCTCTCTGTCTCTGTCTCTGTCTTTATCTCTCTGGCTCTGTCTGTCTCTGTCTCTATCTCTGTCTCTCTCTGGCTCTGTCTGTCTCTGTCTCTATCTCTGTCTCTCTCTGTCTCTGTCTTTCTGTCTCTCTCTGTCTCTGTCTCTCTGCCTGTCTGTCTGTGTTTGTCTGTCTCTGTCTCTCTGTCTGTCTCTGTCTCTGTCTCTGCAGCTAAGATGAGAACTGCAGTGAGACCGCTCAGCCCCGTGGGGATCTCCCTCCCCAACCCCCTCTCTTTTCTGTTTTCCTGACTTTTTGGGCGTGGATGGACCCGCAATCTGAAGGTACCGTCCCACTTTGTTTGTTATTTTCTCACATATAAGTTGGATTGTGTATAACGCACAGGACATTCACGTACTGTATGACTGTAAAAGGCAGCGCAGAGTCTGCGGAGGGGTGTCATCACAGGGAAGTGGGTGAACAGATTCCTCTCCTTTGTTTGTCTTTGTGGCCAAAGTGTCCCCCGGCAGGAACCCCAAATGCAGCACTCGCAGGTCCCCTCCAGCGCCCCGGCAGGCGGTCAGGCCCTGTTTCTACTCCCCAGAGCCAGGTTGTCCTCCCTCACCTGTCCCCCTCGCTCTGGCCCAGGTAACCGCCATCCTATTCTCCATCTCTGCAAATCTGTGCATCGTTCAGGAATCCTCTTGCAAGGCGTGATCGCCAGGTGCCGTAAAGTTACATAATCTGTTACCGTGAGACCCTGCCAATGATCCCCTCAAAATACTCCACTGCTTCCAGTGAACCCATCGCACCCCTCGCCACAGTGGAGGACACAGCCAGCACAGAATAGTGTCCTCCGGGGTCGTGCGTGTGGACCCACGCAGGTCTCCTTGCTACAGGCCTGTCACATTCCCTGCACGTGCACACATGCACACGCCCTTTTTTCACGTAACCCACACACGGTCGTCTTTTGGATCCCTACAGTGTCATCACCAGCCACACCCACAGGCAGGTGTGATTAAGTGCGAACGCACTGTGCTCTTTATACCGAGAGCTTGCGGGAATTCCAGGCCTGCTCTCTCCGAGGTGAGAGGAGGCCACGTCTCCGCTGGCCACACCTTGCACCCTCGGTCACGGGGAGGCAGATTTGCGGGACAGAAATGGCTGCGGCTGGGGTCCAGGCCACACAGACCCCCCCCCCAAGTTGCTCCTTCTCTGCCAAAATGTGGCCCCACTCCTCCACCTCCCTCCAGGTGCCCTGGAACAACCCTTGGGCCGCTCGGAGACGGATGTTACCCCATTGCCGTCTTGTGCATAAACACCTCCCAGTCTCACGGAGCTCCTCCCCGCCAAGGGACGCTCAGTTCCCTCTGGCGCCGCATCTCTGCAGGTGAGGACCCCAGCCCAGCTCTGCTGAGACAGGACGGCAGCCGGGGCTCCCCTGCGCTGAGCCCCTGGACCCGCTGATGGAACACTGGGCTGGGGCCCAGAGCAAACTTCACAGAAGTGGCCTCTCTGGAACTCGCAAGCAAAACAGCAGCGGTGTGTTTTTCCCTGGACCCGGCTCTCAGTTTCCACCAGCTTCCCTGAAGTCCTGGGGTGCTCGAGCTGTGGCCCGAGTTTCCAAAGGCTCCCTCCCGGCCTTTAGCAGGGCCGAGCTGGCTGTGGAGTGCCCCAGGCTGGCCATCTTAGAAAACCAGTGGGGATTTGACTTTCAAAGCCCCTTAGGGAGTGGTGAGCCCTTAGAGCTTCCAGAGAGCATGCAGATCACCTGTGTATTCCGGGATAATTAACACTGCTTCTGCCTAACTCTGAGGGAAGACACTGCCCTCGAAGTGTGCGTGCTTGTGTGCGTGGCTGCAGGTGTGCTGTGAAAGTCTTATATCGTCTCTTCCAGACCCGTTCACCACGGGCCGCAACCCTTGCTTCCTGCCAGGAGGAAATCTGCTCTCTCCCGGGAGACAAACACGGCGGGCTGCACAGGCATTTATAAAGTGTGTCTGATTACAGCCATAACTTTCTACCTTTCTGACATCAGAATTGACTGGAGGAACTTTAAAAACAAACCAGGGACCAGCACCGGCACTGCAGGTCCTGCGGGGTGGGGTCCAGGCCGCACCCCTCCTCTCTCCCTCCTCCTCCACTTCCTGTGGGTCTGTTTATTTCCTCACCAGCAGAGTCAAACTCGGCAAGATTGTGACTTAGGGGTTGTGGAGGTGACCGTGGCCCTCTAAGCCCTTGGACGTATTCTCTGTATCAGGGAGTTAGAAAGAAAAACCGCGGCATTCGGGGACTTGGAGGAGAGGTTCAGACTGGTGAAGACACAGGGGACCCGAGGAACAGAACTCCAGCCACAGGGCAAGGGCGTAGACAGCCCACACTGACAGTCACCTCTGGTGGCCGGGATGCAGGCCCGCGGTCACTTCTGCACCTCCTCTGACCCCAGCCCAGGTTGAATGCAGTAAACTCAGCATTGAGGGGCTTGGGACCCCTACCCGGCAGGCAGGGGTGCCGCTGCATGGGGCAGTTTTGCAGGAGGACAGCATGTGGCCGTTTAGGCAACAGCCTGGGGCTCTGTCCCATGCCCATACGGGGAAGCGCTCTGGGCCTGGGATCCGCTGTGGCTTCAGCTTGTCTCAGTGTGGCTGCTGCCGGTGGTGGGTGCTGAGCCTAGAGTCTGTCTGCTTTCCTGCCTTGCCAGGGTCACCCATCCCGCTGCAGGGTGGCCTAGTATGTGCCCCCAGGGGATCAGGGACACCCCGGAGCATGCACTGGGAGGAAGCTCTTAGCAGTGTGGTCTCCTCTACGAGGAGGAGGCTGAGCCACATCTCCCTTCTCTTTCCCCTCTGAGTTCCACATCCGGGGCTCTTTCGCACACTGGATCCAAACTCCAGGGCTTTTCACAAGAAAGGGCTTCACTGAAACAGGGAAAGACACACCTGCTCCCCGGGAGGGACACAGCCCTTCACCAGTCACGGCTCAGGCCACATCCTCCACCCTCCAGGACACGGCTCACGAGCCCCCAGCCCCTCCTTCCACAGGAGCAGCACGGGGACACTGTGGCAGAGCCCAGCGCCAGCCAAGGACGCGTTTTTTTCCAGTCTCATTTAGGATGGTCATGCCCCTGCCTCCAGAGTGATGTAATAATTAACCTTTATTGGCTATCTTTCATGTGTCAAGCATGGCTTTAAGGGCTTTTATGTCTTCTGTAATCATCGATGTATTGCAATACATGAGATAATATTATCACTGTCAGCTTACAGATGAGGGATCCGGGCCCAGGGATGGCAAGCGTTATCCAGAGCCGCGAGCTGGTCAGTGAAGGACCAGCAGGCTGCCCACCCCCCCCCCGTCACGGCCACACCCCTTCTACAGGGTGCTGATGAGGACCCCGAAGGGCTCTCCTCCTCTGAGTGGGACGCAGGTCTGGGGACCGCGAGGCTGCATCTGAACGCTTCAAAAGAATCCTGAACAAGCAAAGCAGAAACGATTTTACAGAAGATGCTTTGAAATTAGCTTTGCCTGCAGGGCGCTCCGTTCAGCCTTGTGATGTGTCTGCAAATCAAAGGAGGGACGCAGAAACAACAGACCCGGCTAGGAAAGCCCGACCGTGCATTTGGAAAGATCAAAAACCATGTAGACGCTAACCTGAGAGCACAAGCAGCATCCACAGCGAGGGACCGACGCGTCAGGGAGCAACCTGGACGCTTTTCCAGACTGGAAAGCCAGCACATCGTGCTGAGCCCTTGGAGAGCACGTGGATGATCCAGCTTGGCTCGGCAGCCGCCCCGTGGGCAGCCGGCTTCCAGTGCATGCGACCGTCACGGGCACCGCGGCGGGCCGAGCGGGGGGAGGCAGAGTGCAGTTCCGTCTCCAAACGAGGGTTCTCCAGATGGTCCTGTGACGCTGAAGTTGGCAAAGGAGCCGGAAACAGAGCTCTACCCCAAGCTGCAGCCCGGCGCCTCCTGCCCGCCTCCCTGCCGTGCACCTCAGCCCCCAACACCCCCACTTCTAATGCTTCAGTTCCTAAAGACCTGCGTGGGCGGGCCACCTTGCCCTCAGAGTATGTCCCAGTGAGGCCACCATCAACTGTCCATGTGCACAAGTTTGAAAGTTCTTGCCTTCAGTCGGTGGAGGCGAAGGGTTCCGAGTCCCCACGGGGCCACCCTGAGCTCCCCTTTGCCCGGAGCACTGTGCCCGGCTCTTCCCTCCTGAGACCTCCTGTGCCATGCTTTGATACATATAGATCAGTTCCAGCAGCTGTGGCCAGAGAAATGGGAAAGACACCACAGACTGAAGGGTTCTCTG